ACCTCCGCCTCTTGGGTTCAAGTGATTCTCCTGCCTCAGCCTCCCAAGTAGCTGGGATTACAGGTGCGTGCCATCATGACTGGCTAATCTTTTATTTTTAAGTAGAGATGGGGTTTCACCATATTGGTTGGGCTGGTCTTGAACCACTGACCTCGTGATCCACCTGCCTCAGCCTTCCAAAGTGCTGGGATTACAAGCGTGAGCCACCGCGCCCAGCTTCTCAGGGTAAGTTTAATGGAGCTGTTTATTCACTGGATAGTGGGCTGCTCATACCTTAATTCTTGTATTTTCTTCTTTCCATCGGATGGTAAAGTTGCATGTACACATCACGGCTGAAGTTCAAGCAGCAAGAATACTGGACTTGGAGTCAGAAGGCCTTGGTTCAGTATCTGCTCCTCCTCTTTAAGTTTCCGTTTCTTCCTCAGTAAAATTGGGCTTCACTTTTCATGCAATAAACATGTATTAAGTATGACTGTGTTCAGGCCCTGTGGCTGGGTGCCAGGGGTCCAAGTGCCTGTGCTGCTTCTCTCAGAGTGTAATGAGAGGATCGAAGCCTAAATGCATTAAAAAAAACAGGAAATGGAATTCCAGGCACTGAACTGTGTTTTCTGCAGTTTCATTAAGTAGAGGAAATGAGACTGGATTCATTATGAAGCTAGTGGTATAACATAGCGGCTAAGAACTCAGGCTCAGTAGCCAAAGTGCCTAAGTTCAAATCTTGGCTCCACCAGAATTTGGGGGCTATTGCTGAACCTCTCTTTAATTTAGTTTCCTCTGCCTGTAAAACGGGAGTAAGAACTGTAGTGGTTGTGGCGGTTGTGAGGATTTAATGAGTTAGTACGTGGAAAACACTTAAAGCAGGGTCTAGCACATACTTAGTGCTCAATATATATTAGCTGTTATTATTATTTGGGATGTGTAACACATCAGACCAGATGTTTCTGACACAGATATGACCAAGTTGATACCAGAGAGTGATCTGGTTGTGATAATTTTCTCTGTACTCGTGGCCAAGCTTCATTTCCAGCATCTGGCTGATGAAGTCAATGTCCACTCACTTACTTGCTGGTCCATGAACATCCTCCCAAGGCTTTCCAGCTGAAGGAGGGAGTCTCAGAAGCAGCTACTGGAAACTCCAGACCAGCTCTCCAGGTCCATGTGGAGATGACAATGGGGAAGTCAGCTCCCTACTGGGAATTATTGATTCTGCCCATTATTTCAAGAGGTGTAATGTGTTTGTCTTATTGCTCTAATCATACATAGCTTCATTCCTGAAATCTTTACATGGTCTGTGATGGCGGTTAGATTTCCGGGCGCGGTGGCTCACACCTGTAATCCCAGCACTTTGGGAGGCCGAGGCAGGTGGATGACGAGGTCAAGAGATTGAGACCATCCTGATCAACATGGTGAAACCCCGTCTCTACTAAAAATACGAAAAATTAGCTGGGCATGGTGGCACTTGCCTGTAATCCCAGCTACTCGGGAGGCTGAGGCAGGAGAATTGTCTGAACCCAGGAGGTGGAGGTTGCGGTGAGCCAAGATTGCGCCATTGTACTCCAGCCTGGGTAACAAGAGCAAAACTCCGTCTCAAAAAAAAAAAACAACAAAAAAAAGATTTCCAGTCATTCTATTTATGTTTAAAAATGTTTTCAGGTTGGGCGCGGTGGCTCATGCCTATAATTCCAGCACTTTGGGAGGCTGAGGCAGGCGGATCACCTGAGGTCAGGAGTTTGAGACCAGCCTGACTAACATGGAGAAACCCCATCTCTACCAAAAATACAAAAATTAGCCAGGTGTGGTGGCACTTGCCTGATCCCAGCTACGCGGGAGGCTGAGGCAAGAGAATTGCTTGAACCCAGGAGACAGAGGTTGTGGTGAGCCGAGATCATGCCATTGCACTCCAGCTTGAGCAACAGAGAGTAAAACGCTATCTAAAAAAAAAAATTTTCAGCCAGGCACAGTGGTGGTACATGCCTGTAATCCTAGCACTTTGGAAGGCTGAGGCAGGTGGATCACCTGAGGTCAGGAGTTCGAGACCAGCCTAACCAACATGGTGAAACCCTGTCTTAAAAAAAAAAAAAAAAAAAAAAAAAAAAGAGGGGTCTGAACTTTGCAAAGATGAAGGTATAGTTAAAAACCTGCCTTTTTTTTTTTTAGAGGTCACAAGATTTCTAACCTCCCTGATCATTCCTATAGAACACCACTGTTGTAAAACTTAAGATTTGTGTTTGAGGTATTTTTCATACCCTGTGTTCTGATGGACCAGCTGCCACCACTCTGTAGTAAACTGGCTCATCAGGTCCCATGGTCCATACTCAGGAACTGACTCAGTGCAAGAAGACAAACTTTGACTCTGTTTGATTTCATCCCTGACCCAACCGATCAGCATTCCCCATTCCTTAGCCCCCTGCCCACCAAACTGTCCTTAAAACAACCTTAGGCACCTGCTACACCCTCTTCCAACTGTATCTTGCTTCCTTTCCCTTTAGAAAAAAAAAAAGAAACTTAGGCTCTGAATTTTTAGGGAGATTGATTTGAGTAATGCCTAACTGCTGTCCTCCAGCTTGGCTGGCCCTACAATCGTTAAACTCTTCCTCTATTGCAAAAACCTGCATTGGCTTTTCTGGGTAACAAGCAAGATGAATCTGTTGGGCATTACAAACATATTTCAAATATGTTTGGCCAATTTATTATGTATTTTTCCAATTGTTTTTCAAACATAAAGACGTTTTCCTCTCCAAAGATAATTCTGCAGGTACCTTTTCCCTATTTGCTGTACTAGGTAGGTCAAGGAAAGCTTTCTGGAAGAAGTGACTTGTAATTCATAACTTAATGGGTGAGAAACACAAACCAGGTGAAGAGAGCAGGGAACAGTGTTGCCTGCAGGGGGAACAGCACATGCTTCATCTCTCTTTCAGCCCATTGTGTCTACTTTCAGCCCATCTGCTCCACTCACCTCTTGCTACTGCCTTGGACATTTTTGATGCCATATGGCTGGCTTGCTCCTGCCCCATCCTGGCCTTGACTATTCCTTTTAGCTTAATTCCTTCCCCTACTTGAACTGGTCTGTCTCAAGGGTCTAATTTTTCAGTCAAGGTGAGAATTTGTTGTCCAGCTATAGGTTGGCTGCATAATGGTGGCATAGGTTAGATAATACAAAACAAAATGCTGACACTTCTCTTTTAGCAGGAGCTTAGGGTGGCAGTCTTCAATAAAAAGTCATGGTGTTTCGGCACATAATGAATGACATTTATAGTTCGGTATGTACCTACCTTCCCACCGTCTCAGTCTGTATGTCAATGCAGGACTCAATGAACATGCATATATCATCAGTATATCAGTTAGCTTAGGCAAATGTAGGGTGTGGTAAAAAATAATGCTAGGCCGGACATGATGGCTCATGCCTGTAATTCCAGCACTTTGGGAGGCTGAGGTGGGCAGATCACCTGAGGTTGGAAGTTCGAGACCAGCCTCATGAACATGGAGAAACCCCGTCTCGACTAAAAATACAAAATTAGCCAGGGGTGGTGGCGCATGCCTGTAATCCCAGCTACTCGGGATGCTGAGGCAGGAGAATTGCTTGAACCCGGAAGGCGGAGGTTGTGGTGAGCCGAGATGCGCCATTGCACTCCAGCCTGGGAAAAGAGCAACACTCTGTCTCAAAAAAAAAAAAAACCAAAAACGAAAAACCAAAACCAAAACCAAAACCAAAAAAACCTCAGTGGCTTTGAACAAACATTTTGTGCATGTCACACTAACTGGCTTAGGCCATGTATTCTACGCCTTCCCGCTCCAGGACACAAGCTTAAGAAGAGCCCTTATCTGGGACATGCTGCTCTCCTGGTATAGGGAAAAGAGAAAGATGGTGGAACCACAGGACAGCTCTTAAAGCTTATGTTTGGGAGGGGCATTCATTACTTCTGTTCACATTCCATTGCTCAAAGCGATTCCGTGGCCAAGCCTGAGGTCCATGTGGAGGAAGGATACTCCTTCTACAGGAAGCAGCAGTAAATATTCTGAACAAATGAACATTCTTGCAGAATTTATCACAGCCAGTATCATTTGTCCCATGTTGCAGGTGAGAAAACTAAGCTAAAGAAGGTAATTTGATCAAGGTCACAGATTAGAATTCAGTTGTGAATGGCTTCAGAGTTGGTCCATGCAATCTCTCTTCAGATTTTTTCTTCAACACGGTGTAGGAACCTAGAATTGTAATTTACCTGAGGACACAGCCACTTCTCTTCAGCTCCAGAAGCTTCTCCGTGAAAATCTCTAGAGCTAAACCACCCGTGAAATATTCCTGGAAGGATGTGAAGCTAGAAAGGGGTCAAGCTCGGGGGAACTGCCCCCTTGGGAGCTGACTCTTTCATTCAGGAATTTTTTTAACTGTTTAAGTATTTACCTGCTTCATGGGTTCACAGATCCTTTGGACTGGGATCACCTATCATCCACCACCTTTTGTTTTGTCTGTGTGTGAGAGAGTCTGAGCTCCTCAAAGCTTTTTCTAGGTAATTTTTGATATTTCAGATTGCAATGGATATCTATATTAACAAAAATTATTAGTGGGGCGGAAAGAGCATCTTTAGGTGGGAAGAGGGGCACAGAAGTTACAGCCAACACAGAGAATCCTTCAATGTTTGTAAATATCTGTTAATTTCCCTTGCCTCCCCCACAGTTTTCCTGGTTTCAGAGCTTCTGCTCCCAGGTACATGTGCGGCGTGCTAACAATGGGTAGATTTTTGACTTGCCAGGTTTATGCGTGTCATTCAGGGCAGGGGATTAGGCTTAGGCCAGTGAGTTACCTAGGGCACTCAATTTAAGGAGGCACTCGCAAAAACCTGAGAGTTCGCGCGCCTCACCCCAGCCCAGCCCAGCCCAGCCCAGCCCAGCCCAGCCCAGCGCAGCCCAGCTCAGTGTCCGTTAAGCATTTATCATAACCCTGCTGCATGAAAATGCCCGGCGAGCTTACCTGTGAGGATCACCTGCCACTCCCTTCCTCCGCCAGACGCGCGGAGGGCCTCCCTGTCCTGTGACTTTGCGTCGCCAGTGATAATTTCCAGATTACTGTGTAGGAGCGTCTGGCCCACGATCGTGTGCGGAAGACCGAGAGAGGGAGTGTGCGTGTGAGCCAGTCAGGCCGGGCGGGTCCATATCCGGGGGTGGGTGGGGCCGCCCCTCCCCTCCCTCCAGGTCCCGAGGTGGATAGGGGGTGGGGAGTGACGCGCTGAGATTCCCTTTCGCCCCTTCGGATCCTAGAGAGCGTGGCAGAAGGAATGCGAGGGTGACTTGGCGTGGATTTAGGGCGTGCCCACCTAGCAGATCGGCCTCCTAGAGTGTCCCCAGGGCCTGAGACGCCGCGGGGACAAGGAGGAAGAGGAGGAGGAACCCGAAGAGGGCTCGCCTAGCCGGGCACCGGCCCCGAACTTGCCCGGGAAAGTAGTGCGGAGGGAGGGGCCGGCCCTGGCCGCGGCGGGAGGAGGGGCGGTCGCAGCTGCATCCAGCCCCGTTGGCTTCCTTCCCAGCTCTCCTTCGCCTCCTCCTCCTCTTCCTCCTGTATGAGTCAGGCATTTCCCGGGGATTTGGAGCAGCCACGCGCGGCCCGGGCGCTCGGAGCTGTATCAGCAGCCGCCGCCGCCTTGCCGGGGCCGCCACCGCGGCGGGCACCCGCGTCCCGGGCGCGCACGGATCATGGAGAGGGCGGCCCAGGGCGCAGACGGCGGCGGGGGCAGCAACAGCAGCAGCCGCAGCAGCAGCCGTGCCACCTCGGCGGGCTCCTCGCCCTCCTGCTCTCTGGCGGGCCGGGGGGTCTCCAGCCGGTCGTCGGCAGCCGGGCTTGGTAGCGGGGGCAGCCGCAGCAGCCCGGGCTCGGTGGCCGCTAGCCCGTCCGGGGGAGGCGGCCGCAGGAGGGAGCCGGCGCTCGAGGGCGTGCTCAGCAAATACACCAACCTCCTCCAGGGCTGGCAGAACAGGTAACGCGCCAGCCGCCCGCGCCCCTCCTCGCGCGCCGCTGTGTGTGTGTGTGTGTGTTTGTGTGTGTGTGTGCGTGCGCGCGCGCGCGATTGTGCCTTCAGCGAAACTAGTAATGCCTCTGCACGGTGCCCTTCCTGCGTCCCTGCTCCCCTCCAGGTGGGGTGCCCAGGATGGGGCGCGCCATGGCCCCACCCCGGGACGGAACCGCAGTGGCGGGGAGGGAGGCGAGAGCCCTGGTTTTCTTCTGTGCTGGCACCTGCAGAGACTGGAGTGGCAGGAGGAGCGTGCTGGTCCCGGTGCTCTGGTTGCCCGCGGTCTCCCGCACCTCTGAAGAATGACAGGGAAAGGGAGGCAGAAGGGGCGTGCTTTGTGCCTGGGTGAAAAAGCATTAGCACGCCTGCTCCGATTACGGCAAATTTCTGCGTAACACAGTTCATTTTAAAGTTTGGTGCTTCCGAACACCTCCACTAGCAACAAAAAAACTGCCACTTGTCATTCTGGGAGACCTTACATACCCCTGCCCCAGTTTGTGCCTTGCACCCTCCGATCTCTGTAATGGGAGTTTTGTTTAAATAAAGAAAGAGGCCGGGCGCGGTGGCTCACGCCTGTAATCCCAGCGCTTTGGGAGGCCGAGGCGGGTGGATCACGAGGTCAGGGGTTCGAGACCAGCCCTGCCAAAATAGTGAAACCCTGTCTCTACTAAGAATACAAAAAATTAGCGGGGTGTGGTGGCGGGTGCCTGTAATCTCAGCTACTCCGGAGGCTGAGGAAGAAGAGTCGCTTGAACCCGGAGGTGGAGGTTGCAGCAGCCCAGGCGACAGCGTGAGACTCCAACACCAAAAAAAAAAACCAACCCTCCTCCCTTTTAATATTAATAGCAATTTACATTATTTTCATTATTTCCTCTTCAGGTCCCTTTTGAAGTTTCCTGCTCACTTCCCCCTCACAGTTGAGAAGCCTAGTTATACACACGTGGAAGGATGGGGCTGGTGAGGAAAGGGCTCAGGAGACTTGGAATGGTGGTAGCGTGTGTGAGATCTGCCATCATGAGGAAGAGAGGGACAGATGTGGCACTGCTGTTTACTGTTTGTTTGTTTTTTTTTCAGATTGTTTGTCAAAAGCAAGCCAGAGGGAAATACAAATGTCCCATGAGAGGAGAACAATGCTTTTTGGAGAGGTGGTTGGTGGGATATTTTGTTCTGCCTATTTAATGGTCCCCAGATTTTAATAGACTTGGGGCTTTTAAGGATGTTCGTGAGATTTGAATCATACCCTGGAAAGTTGCTTATCTCTGCTGCATGGACTATCTTACTTGGTTATTTCTTCCAGTAGATTGTTGGGAAATGTTCAGATTTGCTTCCATCTGAAACATATCAGGCAGTTATTTACATGAAACTGAACTTGAAGGAAGAGGACTTCTGAAGTACCGAAACAGTTGTTTCTGTATTGATATTCTACATACAGGACTTTCTGAGTCACCTGGGCTTCATGGGAGATGTGTTACTATGTTTGTGGAAGTTGCACTTAACTTTTGAATCCTTTTATTTCTCAAAATGGTCCTAGTGCCCGCTGTTGCCTCTCCCTTTCCCCTTTCAATTCGTGAAAGATGAAAAAGAATAGGTAGAGTGCGTAGGTAGAGGGAGAAGGAGATGACTAAATCTGATTTCAGTTCTTGCTAATTGTGTCTTATTAAGGGCAACTCAAGGGGTCTTGTCAGTGACAGTGTTTTGTTGGTGTGTTGAGCAATCACGTTTAATAGTCTTTTTTTCAAGTAGCTTATGAGGCCAACAGAGCTTTTATCCTGGATTTCAGTTATTTTATTATTTACTTGCTGGGGAACAATTATTTTACCTGCAATGTATATTAAAGGATTTGTTCTTTGGAGTGAACTTAGGAGGCAGTGGAGTACCTTTCTTTTGCATTATTTTAGACCCGTTTTGGTGTTTAGATTGGAGGCAAGGTTGAGAAGAAGCACGCTTAATGACAATAATAGCTACGTGATTGCAGGCTACCTGGGTGAAATGTGGTATTATGTGCACTTCTGAGCATGCTTAAGTGATGTCTCATCTTTATTGAGTTTGTTTACTGCGATTTATAGCTGTCTGCCAATGTTTGTTCTTACCACAGTGTACTCACCGTTTTCCAAGTCTACCACTGACTCCGTAAGCATTGTCTATAATTGTTAACATCTCAGTGTCAGGGTTTCTATTTCCCACATTGGGTTCTCTGAACGATGGCTGAGGGTCCATTAGTGGTTTGGAGAAGATTTATGATGACTCTGTGATTGCAAAATTCTCCCTTCTCGAGGGGTCTTATCAAGGGAGAGTTGGATTACTGAAAAGGAAGAGAGAAGAGGGTAAAAATAGAAACTTTGAAAACGCCTTCGTTTGTTCAATTTATCTAGTCAGAGATTGTTTTATTGAACACCTACTATGTGCCGGGCACTCTTCCAGGAGCTGGAGCTACCACCTTCTCCCGGTCCAGGGAAATGCCTTAGGGACAAGTAACCGGCTGATTCATGCTGTCTTTCGTTATGGGCCTCATGGCATCTTCCTTTGGCAGTTCTTTTCAAAGTGCCCACAGTTAATGACAAATCTATAGCTACCAAGTTCTTGGTTTGCCCTCTCACGCTGCTGTAATGCTCTTCACCAGCTCCCAGGACTTAACACCGATCACCCACTAACAGTTTGTACTCTGGTGCCCTCTTGCATGTCCTCAAGTTGCTGTCAAGCTTATATTTTAACATTTGGCATCATATTCTGCCTTTATTTGTCGCCTCCATGTCCTGCCCTTAGGAAGGCAGTTTGGGCCAGAACACGAAATAAATGAATAAATAAAGAGAGGTCACAGGAAAGAAAACTGCGTGATGGGAACATGCTCAACTCAGGAGAGTAAGTTCAGGACATTGACTCAGACTCACTGGATGAGAAGGTGAAATACTTAGAATATGGGGAAAACACGCATTCACGGCTTTCTGTGACTCATTATTACAGACACTTAAAGAAAATATTTCAGGCATAATAATGTTGTGTAGAGTTTCAGGATGGCTTTACAATGAATCCAGAAAGTGGCAAGTGCGATGAAGGTTTCAAGAAAGGTGATGAGATAAAGGGAAGTATCTGCAGGAATAATTTTAAGTGTGAGTTTAGTGTCTTTATTGCTATTCACATTTTAATTTAGAGCACTCTGTTATTACCCATCTTTTTTTTTTTTTTTTTTTTTTTTGAGACAGAGTCTTGCTCTGTCACCAGGCTGGAATGCAGTACGGCTCACTGCAACTCCCCACCTCCCTGCTTCAAGCGATTCTCCTGCCTCAGCCTCCTAAGCAGCTGGGACTACAGGCACGCGCTACTACGCCAAGCTAATTTTTGTATTTTTAGTAGAGATGGGGTTTCACCATATTGTCCAGGATGGTCTCGATCTCTTGACATCATGATCTGCCCACCTCGGCCTGCCAAAGTGCTGGGATTACAGGCGTGAGGCACTGCGGCCAGCCTTATTAAACCCATCTTATCACTCATATGCTGTGAACCAAGGGAAGAGTAAACCTCAAGAACTTGGGGAGGCAGATGACATAGCACCTAGTTGGCCAGGATTACAATTTCAGACTGGGTTCTGGTGGCCCAGAAGGATTTTAGGAAGGGAAGTGACCCTTATTAGGTCACTCTGGCTGCTGTGTAGAGATGAGATTTTCAAGGGGCCAAAGCATGAAGCTGGAAGACCAGTTAGGAGCCCATGTGAGTAGTCCAGGAAAGAGATGCTGGCAGCTTGAACTGGGGTTTGGCGGAGACTTGGAGAGAAGGGATAGATCTGGTGTGGAGAGGATGGAAATTGCTGATGACTTTGATGTGGCGGCAGGAGACGGGCAAGGATAACTCTTGATTTGTGGGCCTGAGACGCTGGGAGATGAGGATCACAGGAGAGGAATGTGTTTGTGGGGAGGGTGGCGCTCGGCCAAGAGTTCTGTTTGGACTGTGTTCAGTTTGAGTTGCCTACTGTGCCTTGTAAGAAACTGGCTGTATGGGCCGGGTGCGGTGGCTCACGCCTGTAATCCCAGCACTTTGGGAGTCCGAGGTGGGTGGATCACGAGGTCAAGCGATCGAGACCATCCTGGCCAACATGGTGAAACCCCATCTCTACTAAAAATACAAAAAAAAAAAAAAAAATTAGCTGGGTGTGGTGGCACGCGCCTGTGGTCCCAGCTACTCAGGAGGCTGAGGCGGAAGAATCGCTTAAACCCAGGAGGCTGAAGTTGCAGTGAGCCGAGATTTCGCCACTGCATTCCAACCTGGTGACAGAGCAAGACACCGTCTCAAAAAAAAAAAAAAAAAAAAAGAAACTGGCTGCATGAACTCCCATTTGCCCTAAGGTTAACTTTACTCTCAAACCAAAATGGAACTATTTTGCTCATAATATCAAGTATTTGAGGAAATAATTTCTAATTGGATCCAGAAATTGTTGAATATCTAAGGGTTGCCATTGATTGCCATTCCCTTTTCCTTATTTGGAGAAAAGGAGACACTGCAAATGTGGAACCAACCTCCAATTCTTTTTTTGGTGATTGGTAGGGTTGTAAGAACTCAGTGAAATGCTCAGGGACAAATCTTGGCTAGGATTACAGAATTTGTTTATAAGTGGACACTTTCTGGGTGTGTTGGCTAACACCTGTAATCCCAGCACTTTGGGAGGCTGAGGTGGGAGGATCGTTTGAGCCCAGGAGTTCAGACCAGCCTGGGAACCATGGTGAAACCATGTCTCCACCAGGTGAAAATATAAAAATTAGCCAGGTATGGTAACATGGGCCTGTAATCACTGCTGCTCAGGGTGCTGAGGTGGAAGGATTGCTTGAGCACAAGAGGACAAGGCTGCAATGAGCTATGATCACACCACTGCACTCCAGCCTGGGCAACAGAGCAAGACGCTGCCTCTGAGGTAGACGTTTATTTGGGGAGGAAGACTAGTGTGGACTTTGGATTCAAATCTTGACATCAACACTTAG